GAAGATCTATCCACACATGGTCAAATCCCAAAGCCCCCAACATCCCCTTCAAAAACCCCCATTCCATCCGGTCGTAGGCCTTGGCCATGTCGAGTTTCAGTGTTGTCCAACCCATCGCCCCGTTTGATTTTCGTCTCAAATAATGACCCACTTCCCCGGCAACTATGATGTTATCAGTTAAAAGTCTGTCTGGTACAAACGCGCTTTGAGATGCAGAGACAACACTTTGAAGCACACCTTTGAGACGATTGGCCAACAATTTCGCGAGAACCTTATAAGCAACGTTACATAGGGCAATCGGGCGTAAATCAGAAACTTTCTCAGGTACCTTTTTCTTTGAAATCAAAACAACGTTGGATTCGTTGAGCCCTTGTGGTAGCCTCCGATTTGTGACACAATTCATAATAAAGATAAATAGATCATGCCCAAGTACGAGCTAAAAGTGTTGATAAAATGCAGGTGATATCCCATCCGGACCCGGCGTTTTCTACGGGGCCATCGAGAAAAGAGCAGTTTTAACCTCGGCCATAGTGAACGGTAACAACAGAGATGCATTCATTTCCTCCGTAACTTGCTTGGGACCCTACCAAAAATATCAGATGTACTGCCTGACGATTGAAAGATGTCGTTATAGTAACTCAGGATCACCACATTCATCCCCGTTCCCCCCACCCAGTCACCGTCAGTGTTCTTGACTCGTAGCAAAAGGTTCCTGCATCGCCGTGATGATGCCGACTTGTGAAAATACTTGGTGTTCAGGTCGCCGTGTTGTTACCAGAGTTGCTTCGACCTCTGCTTCCATAATAACTCTTCTTGCTGTACTAAAACCAATAACTCCCCTTCGACCACCAAATACTCGGTAACATCCTGGTGTTCTCGAGAATCCCTGAGGACCTCCAATCTGGAACGAAGCTTCTTCATGTGTGTGCCAATGCGTTTGAAAAACTCCTCACCCCACTGCCCCAATAGGCGTCCACATTCACTTATGTGTTCTTGAAAATCCAACCCCATAGACTGTTTCCACACTTGTTCCACGAAAATTCCTCATTTCCAGATCGAGGAAAATTGCATTATGATCTGAAGAGAGTGTCAATAGGTTCTGAACCACTGCTTCCTCAAAAATATCCAACCAACACGTATTCGCTACCACCCTGTCAAGCCGTTTTTCTACCCAGGCCACCGTGCCTCCCCCTCAATCCCACGTAAAACCGCTGCCTGTCATGCCTAAATCAATTAGATGACAGTCGGATAGAGCATCATTGAAACCTTCAATGAGACACATGGGCTGTGGATGCAATCCTCACTTCTCGGATTGACACGCAATGTCATTGAAATCTCCAATGACGACCCACGGGAGTTCTGAATGATCACTGAGGTCACGAAGAAGATTCCAAGAGAGGTGTCGTCTTGTTTACCCAAGGCGTTACTTTTCAACGGGTACCGCTCCCCAGGCATCAACAATCCAACATACCTCAAAGTCCCACAAAAAGCTGCGTTCTTGAATGATGTTAGTAGTGATCTCCAATGCGAGGGAATCCATGATGATGTCGTGGTTCTGGACACAAATTACAGAGATAAGGAGCAGAAAACGTGGGGGAAGTCATTCCTTTGTTTCACTTGCGCTGTTGGAGTGTTTGAGATCATGTGTCTCATAACATACCGGAAAAGCTCCGAAGAAGCCATACATGGTTACCAGAAGATCGCAGACAGGTTTCAGAAGTTCAGCTATGCATAGATGAAGAAGGTGACGGGGAGTTTCAGTGAGGAGATTGGGCGAGGAAGCAATGGGGTTGTGTACAAAGGAAAACTACCAGACAACAGAATCGCCGCCATTAAACGTCTGCATGAAGCTAATCATCAAGGAGAAGAAGAGTTTCTAGCGGGAGTGAGCACAATTAGGAAGCTTAACTACATGAACTTGATAGAGATATGGGGATATTGTGCAGAAGGAAAACACAGGCTTCTGGTTTATGAGTACATGGAAAATGGTTCTTTAGCCAAAAACCTGGAAGGCAACAAGCTGGAATGGGAATCCAGGTATGAAATTGCAGTGGGGACAGCAAAGGGTCTGGCACACTTGCACGAGGAGTGTTTGGAGTGGGTTTTGCATTGTGATTTGAGGCCACATAGCATTCTCTTGGACTCTGATTTCAAGCCTAAAGTGATAGACTTTGGGTTGTCCAAGTTATTGAGAAGAGATATTAATGGTCGGTCACAGTTTTCGAGAATCAGAGGGACCAGAGGGTACATGGCTCCTGAATGGATTTATAACATGCCCATAACGTGCAAAGTTGACGTTTACATTTATGGCATCGTGTTGCTGGAGATGATTACGGGGAAGAGCCCGTTCGGATTTTGTGGTGATGAAGAGAACAACATGGTGGAGCAAAGAAGGTTGGTGAGTTGGGTGAGGGAGAAGAGGAATGGAGAATGGGCTGAGGAAATAGTGGATGCTGGTTTGGATGGAAAGTATGATTTGAAGAGAATGGAAGTCCTTGTGGATGTGGCTATCAAGTGTTTAGAGGAAGATAGAGATGCTAGACCAACCATGAGCCAGGTGGTCCATATTCTCCTTTCAGAAAATGAAGATAATTAATAACAGCCCTCACGGAGTTAGTTCAATGGTTCAGTGGACAATATTTGAGAAAAGAGACCAAAGTTCGAACTTCGGTGACCACAATGTGAAAATTATGTCCAAAGTTGGCAGATTCTTTGTGTGCACCGACATTTAACCCTGTTTGCTGAACTATGGGAAAAGATATTTATCTGGGCCAGCTCAACTAATCAAAACGGCCAATTTAATAACCATAAAATTTTAAGTTAAACTTTTCATAAAATCTTTTTATTTACATACTGCACTTATTATGGAGAGCGTTTCACTTATTACGGGCATTAAGTAGCATATATGCTCCTCCATCTAGAAACTAATATGGACTACTATTGATTGAATATTTGAACGTACCATGGTTTCTTGTTCTTCTAGTATTGTGTCAATTATATGAATTTTTTAATATTATTATATTGTCTGGACCATTTGAACTTGATTTTTAGTTTTATGGTTGATGGTTTAGATTCAGTTAGTTGCTCATTAGACTTGATAGACCTAAAGACAACAATGATAGATGGGGCCGAGTCTATATTTTACATGAGTATGGACGGTGTAACACCAACTGAATATAAAAATTACAATTTCTACTATCTATTGAACCAATGAATTAAGTTTATACCGATTTAAAAGGATCCGTAATCACCATGGTTCCTAGTGGTACTCTAGTATGATGTCAAAAATTATATGAATTTGAAATATTAACGGAAGCGTACAGTTGTACAATGGACTCGGGTCTACCTTACAATGTGGACTCAAATCTAAAATACACAATTTACATATTGAATGTTCACAATTTAAATTGTAAAACATTTAATAGGTAAATTGTGTATAAAAATTGTGAACATTTAATAGGTAAATTGTGTATTTTTAAACCGGGTCCACAGAATAATTTGCGAACTGAAGCCTTTTGGTCTTGAATTGTTAAGTCCAATAGCCTAATAAGCTAACAATAACATGGAAGATAAAATTAGTTTACAATATTAACCTACTCATTGCCAACTATTGGAACCAATTACTCAAATAGCCCACAAATACTCAACAAAATTACTCTACCCCACCCACAAGGCCCACAATACACTATATATGTAATTATGTATAGCACCCCAAGATTCAAAATAATAATAATAATAATTATACTCTCTCCGTCCCATTTTAACTCGTTTAAACCAAAGTTTTTCGAAAAGGGATCCCACTAGGGGTGTTAGCGAACAGAGCTTTCGGCAAACTACTCGTGTTCGTGTTCGGCAAGCGTTCGTTTATGTTCGTTTGTTAAGATAAACGAACCATTAACAAACAAAAATTAGAGCTCGATTAATAAACAAACAGAGCTTGAACAGTTGTATGCTCGTTTGCTAAGAGATCGTGAACAAGCTCGTTTGTGTTCGTTTAATAATGTTGGTGAACAAGCTCGTTTGTGTTCATTTAATAATGTTCGTGAACAAGCTCGCTTGTGTTCGTTTAATAATGTTCGTGAACAAGCTCGTTTAGTGTTCGTTAACAATGTTTGCGAACATGAATGTAGATTATTTCTTGTTTACGAACGAATTTTGATCATGAACATGTGCAGGTGTTTGATTATTAAAGGTTCACGAACGTGCTCATGAACATAAACCAACATGTTCGTGAACGTGTTTGTTAACGAACATGTTTGTTAACGTTAACAAACACGTTCGTGAACGTGTTCGCAAACGTTGATAAACACGTTCATGAACATGTTCGTTAACGTAAACGAACACGTTCGTGAACGTGTTCGCGAAAGTTAACAAACACTAATGAACGCTTAACAAACGAACACGAACAGGATTTTCAAAAACCTTAACAAACGAACACGAACACGAACACCCCAAAATTTTTAACAAACGAACACGAACAACCTTCATTCGTTTATGTTCTGTTCGTTAACAGCCCTAGATCCCACTTCTGGCATAAATTTAAACACAAATGGACAGGCCCATAGGGTGTTATTGAGTTCATATATGTATTCCGGATATACAAAATTTGTGGTAATAAAGACAATCCAAAAACAGCCAAACCAAACATCACATCATTCCTCAATTGAAACCTTAATTTCAATAAGATTCGATGAGTTACGAATCTTAATTGAGCATGCGTTTTGATGGAGATAATAAAGGGTAATATTCAAACCTATCACCTCACCAGCCTGTACTCTTATCATCTTATCAAACAATTATTATTATTATTATTAATATCATAATAATTACGGAGTATATTTTTCTGATTTTAATATAAATATTAAATGAACGAAACGTATGGCTGTTAGTTAATTACCAAACATTTTAATTCAATGCCCCCACAGACGTTATATACCCATTTTCAACTGAATACTACAAAAATAACATTTCGGAATTTACTTTCCAGTCCCTAAAATTTGTCAGAATTCAATTTTGCATCTCAGCCGGAAATTGTCCATTTTTTCCGATATGGTTCTTCTTTTCCGGCGATTTCTCATCGACGGGACTACTGTTTAGAGATCTCTCCGTCTCTTTCATCGCTATATGCCTGCAAAATTATTTTGTTTTTATAGACAGACACAGACTGATGGAAATTCTACAAGGGAAGACTGAAGAGCAACCCATCGACGATCGCCGGAGTTCAGGCGAGCTTAACATTGACCGACCATCTCCTATACAAAAGCACTACCGTCAAGGGAGGGAAGCTCAGTTATTCGATCCTGCTAAGGCTGATTCGTTTGACGACGGCATTTCGGATTGCTTCAGTCGGCATACAGAGCCCGTTTTTGTCGACGCCGGACATGTAAGTCCTCACCTCTTTCCTGATCATGTCCTGCAGTACGGCCAGGAACTCTGGGCTGAAGAGCGGTTTCTCCGCCATTTGCGGCGGCGGCGTAGGTAAAAACTCGAAGTTTTGATGTGTTTGAGGGGGTAAAGAAGGGAGTGGTGGCGGTGGCGGCGGCGGCGGTGGTTGTGGTGGAGCCACCACGGGGGTGAAAGAAATAGGGGTTCTGGGGAGTGGTGGTGGTGGCGGAGGCGGAGGCGGCGCGTGCGGCGCGTGGGGTGAGTGTACGAGTTGACTGGTGGGGGTTACAGAGGTGGGACTGGGAGTTTCAGAGGTATCGGATCCGGGTAAAGAGAGAGTGAGAGAAGTCGGAGGATCATTCGCCGCCGGCGAAGAAGCCGTTTCGATCTGTGTCACCGGAAAGACCCCGCCGGTGCGAGCAATGGGGCGGTAAAGGTGAGGGAGGCTAGAATCGCTCAAATCAGATCCGGACGGGCTCCCGGGGCTCACATAAAACCCGGAAACCGAACCCGAACCCGAAACATTCACCCCCGCCGCCCCGACGCTCGAAGATCTCTTCCGCCGCGGCTCGAAGCCGCTCGAGTCCTCCGACACCGCCGCCGCCGCGCTCTTCCGCTTCAACGTCGAGTTCCAGTGATTCTTAATCGCGTTATCCGTCCGCCCGCTCAGCAGCCGCGCGATGGTGGCCCACTTGTTCCCGAACTTCGCGTGCGCCCTAACTATCTTCTCATCCTCCTCCGCCGTGAACGCCCGGTGCTCCACCTGCGGCGACAGCTGGTTGCACCACCGCAGCCGGCACGACTTCCCGGACCTCCCCGGAATCGATTTGCTGATCAGAGACCAATTCCTCGGCCCGTGCTTCTCCACCAGCCTCTGCAACAGCTCATCCTCTTCAGGACTCCATGGCCCCCTGATCCGATCCGCATCTTTCTTCTGCGACATCGTCGCCATAGCCGATTCAACACAGAAATTCAACAAAATTCAAAATTCAAAATCGAGAAAATATAGGGAGGATGTATATATACAGTTGTTGTATGTATAGTTGGGGAGAGAAAAGTTTGTGAGTGGTTTACTGGTTTTTGCCAAACAAGCGGTATATATACGAGGAAATGAAGGAATGGATAGAGACGACCGGTTGGGCCGGTGAGTGACCGGTTATAGTCTAGGTAAGGCAGTTACTAGCATACAGCTGGCAAAGGACACGCGTATAGCTTTGTTTTGAAACATCAGACTCGACGTATACATATATATGACTCTATTTACTTTTTTATTCATTTTCAAAATATTTTATCAACAATTATTTGTTCTTTTTTTTTTATGTGAAAGTGTGAAACTATCTTACATAATATACGTAATAAAGTTAAATGTTTTATTGATTTAGTAATTATAAAATTATAAATTTAAACTCAATTGGAGCGATCTATCAATCTTTTTAATTTAAGTCGGTCAGCACTCAACAACGGCAACCTTCTACACAGGATTAGCTCACTGATTTAGTATGTAGTATTTGAAAGAACAGATCAAGATTCGAACTTTGGCAGCACCAGAATGAGAATTAAGTCCAATGTGAACAGATCCCTTGTGCGCATCAGTCATTGAGTCATTGTGAGGGGTCTTTGGAGTTGGGATTCAACCTTTCTAGGGAAGGTTAACTTTAGTTTTTTTTTTTTTTTTTTTTTTTTTTTTTTTTAAACTCAATTAATAAGGGGGTGAGGGGAGAAATGAATTTATGGCTGGTATTATTTAACGTTTTTAAAATTAAAAAATAAGAGGAAGAAAAGAAAAGAAAATCACCGACCGTTTTGGAAGTTTAATAATAATTTGGTTTTGAAATTGAAGTGAAGCCATAGGGGTGGGGAGGGGGTAGGGGGAATTGGGTTTGACTGAGCCAGGCTGGAGAGCATTTAGTCTTCTGCAAGGGACCTTCCTTAGATATTTCCCTCAAAATCCTTTCTTTTTTGTCATTATTTCTTATTTTTTTACTATTAGTTGTAGATTGTAGATAAGGAAGTTTAATGGAAATTTTATTCAATGGTTTATTATATAAATACATATTAATATTTAAATTACATGCACCATACATATTGATATATGCTTATATTGATATATAAATTCTTTCTGGTATATATTTGTTTGAGTGACGAGAAAACCTACAACAAATATTTGAGGATGTGCACGGGATAAAATTTCACTCGTGTAATAACTCGTAAATCACACTAGAAATGTATATATTTTTTTATTTTTTATATATTGTAAAAATAGTTTTGGTGCCCCACAACATTAGTCTAGTGGATGATAAGTTTCACTTAAGACTTGCTTTTAACAGCAGTGAGATGTACCAAGGACCTTGTGATCCAATGTCACCAAGTTGCTAAAAGAACAACAGGGGATGTTCGATTCCAAACATTGCGGGTCCATCTCACGAAGCAGAAAAACTTGAGTTATAAAAAATAAAATTATAGAACAAAATTTTAAATTGAAACTAGTATGTTTGGGCATAAAATAAAACACATCAAAATTTAATTTAAAGATTTCTTTTTATGTTAGCTAATAGTTAAGAGTTTGAATATATAATTACAAAAATTATATTCACAAATAATTATGATAAATATTAAACCAAAAGAACTAAAACAAATGAAGATAGTATTTTTAGAATAATATTTGAATATGCAAATAAATGAATGTTGGATTGGGGTTGGGGTTGGGGTTGGGTTAGCATTACAATGCATCGTTTGTAGGTTCATGAGATCGATCAATTTAGATATTAATGAGTAAGTGTAAGTATAATGTGTGTGCGGTATGGTGATAAGACGAAATGGTCTAAATTACTAGATTTTAAGGTATCATGTTAGCTAGACATAAGTGAGTTGCGAGACATGATGCTAAAAAAGTTGGTTAATGCAATGCTTTATGATTGGCTTATGTGATCGGTGAATCAAACAAGTTGTTAGTGTGACAGACAACTATTAATAACATATGACCGGTGTCTTTTTTGGTTTAATTGGCAAATTGACATATCTCCTGACCTAGTAGGGTTCTAGTCGAATCTTCCAAGATATGAAATTGAGCATATAACTTTTCGCTTACTAGTTGAATTACTCAATAACCCCATCAACAATATATATACACAAAAAAACACATGAAGTGATGATCGAGTGAATGATCATGATTCTCATACTTGAATATTTACGAGTTTGATTTTTTTAATATTCTCTCGATCAAATCCATGGTACATGATCTTTCCATTCAAGTGGTTAATATAAATATTCTTCTCCATTTATAAGTGGTGAATAAGAAAGTGTAAAACTTTATGTAAATAATAATTTTAAAAAAAATAAATAAATGAGTAAAGTATAGTGGATTGGAAATGAGCTGGCGCAAGGCGACAAAAGAGGATACACAGAAATGAGCGACGAAGAAAGGTTGAATATTTTTTAGCGATGCCAGGCTGTTAAAGCATACCCATCCTAACGGTATTTTGTTACGTCAACTACTCAACTTCCATGTGCCAATCACGCGTGTTGGGTCCCACCCCTCACTCACCCTAACCGACTCCTACCAATTCCCCTTTTATCAAATCTAGCAAATTTTTCCAAATATAAATTATTATTCTTTTTAGAAAAAAATTACTCGTACACGGACTTAGCTCAATGATTCAGTATGCAGTATTTTGAAAAAAAAAAGATTAATGTTTGAGTTTGGTGTCGACAGTGTGGGAATTATGTTCAGAATAAATAGATCCCTTGTGCACATCGGAGGCCCTTGAGGTTAAGGATTCAACCTTTTAAGAGAAGAAGAATTCGGAAAAAAGTTTAATTCAATTTTCTTTTTTTAACATGGTGCACATTTTATAAGATTTGAATCTTTTATATTGTATTGCATTAACATTACGATCCGTTTTGAGAATGGAACAGTCTTAAATCTCTAGGTCAGCTGTCCCATCTAAAAGATGTACCTACAATTCAGCAAAGGGATTAGTTTCTGTGTCCGACGGTAGAAATTCTGGATATACCAAAAAATAATAATTAACATTTCGGTGAAAAACGGTTGATTTTATTAATTACACTGCCTATAAATTTATTACTCCTCTAATAATATTTTGTTTGGTACGTATATTAGTTATTAGTTAAATTTTTTTGAAAGTTATTGGCTCTATTACATTATAACGCCTCCACTGAGGCTCGAACTTATAATCTTCCAAATGGAAGTCCAACCCGGATACCATTGGACCACATAGTTATTAGTTAAATTAATTTTATGTTTAATAAATAATTTAAAATTTTCATTAATTATTATATTTTAAATTTCAATCAGATTGGCTGGCCTGACGTTCTCACGCGTTCTGTTTACCCACTCAAGTTGTACTTTGTCCGTACCTGCACGTATCATCACGTGACAAAAATCCACCGCACGGTGCACTTCTGTTTATTATTATCCAAAAATATATTTATTTTTCCCCCAGAAATTTTCGGATTTAATTTGGGGACAAAGATGATCTTCTTGGACCACACATATTTTAGACAGTAACATGTGGGCTTATTGTTGTTAGAAGAATTTTTGAAATTTTTTAAAATTTCTTTTACTTTTTTACTTAATTTGCCTCATTTTATGTGTCTCAATTAAATAAAAAGTATACGTTAAATACTTCAATTTTTTTTTGAAAACGTTAAATACTTAATTTATTCATCCCCCAACAAAATTCAATTTTTATGAATTTTCCCATAATACCCATTTCCTATGGCAATAAAAGAAGTAAAAGCAACGAGAGAAAAAAAATGGAATTTGGCCAAACCTTTTTTTTTTTTTTTTTTTTTTTGTTGTCCGGTCATGAGGTGTCCTGTGCAGGTCTTAATCGTAAGAGGCACATTTAAGCCTATATTATACTCAGACTAATCTCCATTCACACTGGCCCGGCCCAATTAAGGGACAAAGTGCTTGTCAGATTGATTTTTTCATACAAGAGAGGGTTCGAATTCCCGACCCCCCTTAAGGAATGAGAGTGCACGACCACTCACGCCAACCAAACTGGTTGGCCATACCTCTTGTTAAAGTTGCACCCAAATCCGATTACGAGTTTATGCCACAAAATGCGCAAGACCTAAAAAAGAAGGGTCAATTGACTTAACTTTTACCTGAAATAGCTGTCAATAATCCTATACCCCTTAGTACACAATATACGAATCCGTTAACGAATCTATTGTCACAAAAAAAAAAATGCGTTAGAAAAAATGACCAATCGATGAAGAAGTATGCAAAAACAATGCATAAGACATTACCGATTTAGGGTGTTGAAAACATATTTATCAGCTAAAAACAACACATTACATCAAGAGAAAAGCAAAATCACACTAACTTTTGCCAAAAATAGCCACCCATAATCCTATACCCTTGCCAAAGGAGCATACAAATTCGTTTACAAGTCTACATAGCACGAAAAGTGCGAGCAATTATTCATTAAAATACAACCTAAGAAAGAAAATTTGCAACGATCCTTTGTTTGGTGGTGTGTTTGTGTTGTCCATCCCATTCTTTATGCTTTTGTTTTATCAAAAGTTAGACCCAAAAAATGCAAAAGTTGAAGGCCTTGATTCGCTGAACTCTAAGGGGAAGCATAAATCGGTGTCGGACTTTAAACAAGCCCACACTTTTGCTTTTACCAATGGGCAAGTACAAGCACAAGAAGAAAAGAACAATTCTCTCCTTGCAACATTAATAACTTATTATAAATCTCAGCGCTACATTATGCTTACTTTTCAAGTTCTTTGACTATGTGGTTGTCATATTCTACTTAAACCAATTGGTGATAAGGAGATAGACATTAACCATTTAACGATATCATTCCATAGTAAGCCACAACGCCATGTCTCGAATCGAGCAGGGGCTGAACTCGGCCAAGCCGACCGACACCCAACAATAACTTCAAAATCAATCATTTTAGAGCTCGTAGGAAGATCGCATTAGTCCATGACAGTCTCAATGGAGGAGTTTCACCTAATATCATGGGCCGCTTGTAGGTACTAGATACTGATCCTCACACGTAATGAGCTGCTGAGTAATCGTGATTTATTCATTTACT